GCAGGGGCACTTTTGCCATTAATTAGGTGACCACATATGTGTGGGCCTGTTTCTGGGCCCTATTCTGTTTCATCTGTCTATCCTTGCACCTTTAAAATAAGTCTTGATATTTGATCATGTAAGTCCTGAGGAAGAGGGTTTTTGTTGGTTTGTTTGTTTTGTTTTCAATCAGAGATATTTGAGCAAGGATCCAGTTGAGAGTGAGGAGTTGAATAAAAAAGAGAGAGAAGTCAGGCGTGGTGGCTCATGCTTTTAATCCCAGCTACCTGGGAGGCTGAGGTGGGAGGATGCTTGAGCCCAGGAGTTCAAGTCAAGCCTTAACCAGGGGGGTTGAGCAAGATCCTGTCTCAATATTAAAAAGAGAACGAGGTCATGTGGTGGCTTATGCCTGTAATCCCAGCACTTTTGGGATGTCGAGGCAGGCAGATCACTTGTGGTCGGGAGTTTGAGACCAGCCTGCCCACATGATGAAACCTCATTTCTACTAAAAATACAAAAATTAGCAGGGCATGGTGGCGGGCACCTATAATCCCAGCTACTCGGGAGGCCGAGGCAGGAAAATCACTTGAGCTAGGAGGCAGAGGTTGCAGTGAGCCAAGATCGCACCACTGCATTCCAGCCTAGGCAACAGAGTAAGATTCTGTCTAAAAAAAAAAAAAAAAGAGAGAGAGAGAGGGAGAAGATAATCTACATTTTAAGGTTTCTTAGAAGACAGTAGGAGCTGGGATCCAGGTGTTTGGGGAAGGATTGGCCCTAGGTACTCATCCGCTAATTCATTCAACATTAATGTGTCAGAACATTTATGTGCCAGACACAAGTATACAGCAGTTCTGGGATAGATGAGGTCCTTGTTCTCATGGAGCTCCCTTTCTAGTATTGAGAGAAAGGTAATAAACAAGTAAACAGATAACTCAGGCAGCAGTAAATGCCATGAAGAACAGAAACAGGATATTGTGATAGAGAGTAATGGAAGAATGTCCTAATTGGGAGTTAAGATCTGAAGATGGAGCCAGACTTTAAGAGCAGAGTGAAGAGCATCCCAGACATAGGGAACACACAATGCAAAGGCCCTTGGAGTGGTGAGAGCTTGTAGTGCTTGTGGGAAAAACAAAAGACCAGTGTAGGGCCAGGCACGGTGGCTCACGCCTGTAATCCCAGCACTTTGGGAGGCTGAGGTGAGCAGATCACCTGAGGTTAGGAGTTCGAGACCAACCTGACCAACATGAAGAAACCCCGTCTCTACTAAAAGTACAAAATTAGCCGGACATGGTGGGGCATCTCTGTAATCCCAGCTACTCAGGAGGCTGAGGCAGGAGAATCACTCAGACCTGGGAGGCGGAGGTTGCGGTGAGCTGAGATTGCACCATTACACTCCAGCCTGGGCACAAGAGTGAAACTCCATCTCAAAAACAAAACAAAACAAACAAAAAAACAACAAACAACAACAACAAAAAAACCAGTGTAGGGGAACACAGTAGAAAAGGGGGTGAGGAGCAGGGTAACTAAATGATATCAGAGAGGTAGAGAACAGACTTGCCCAGGGAGGATATCCTTTAGGTTTGGGCTGAATGTGAATTTTTACATGCACGTGAGTTGGGTAGATTACTTGTGGGTGGTGGGACTGTGGGTATGTGCTGGAGGATTCATTTTGTCTCCTTCTTTTTGAAGCTGCTCTCATACCTGCCCTTTCTCCCTGCAGCCTCCTGAATGATGCCAGCCCAGTATGCTCTAACCTCCAGCCTGGCTCTCCTGGTGCTACTGGGCACAGCCAGAGCAGGCCCCTTCTCTTCACGGTCCAATGTGACACTGCCAGCCCCCCGGCCCCCTCCCCAGCCAGGGGGCCGCACGGTGGGGGCAGGAGGGGGAAGGCCCTCTTCTCAGCTTTATGAGCACACAGTGGAAGGAGGGGAGAAGCAGGTGGTATTCACCCACCGCATTAACCTGCCCCCTTCCACTGGCTGTGGTTGTCCCCCAGGCACTGAGCCCCCAGTCCCTGCTTCAGAGGTGCAGGCCCTGAGGGTCCGGCTAGAGATCCTGGAGGAGTTGGTGAAGGGGCTCAAGGAACAGTGCACTGGGGGATGTTGTCCTACTGCTGCCCAGGCTGGCACAGGTGAGCAGGTCATCACAGAAGAGGGTGGAGAGGTGTGTTAGGGTGGGGTGGGCATTGCTAGTCCATAAAGGTCCGTATGAATTAGAAGAAGGCACTCCTGCCTCACCCTTAGGGGTGTGGATGCAGCCCAGAACACAACTTGGAGAGCAGAGCTGGACTACATGTCAACTAAAGCATATGCGAGGGCCCTGAGAGGCTGCATACATTACACATATTAGCAACTGGAAGCAGACATGGCCTCATGAGATGAGGCTGGCCTGGCTAGGGGACCTGCACATAGGAGCACTGTATAGGTTCAGCCTCTCTCCCAGGAGACAGACTGAGACCTGCCTCTCCCTCATACTCCAGGTCAGACAGATGTGCGGACCCTCTGCAGTCTCCATGGTGTGTTTGATCTGAGCCGCTGCACCTGTTCCTGTGAGCCAGGCTGGGGTGGGCCCACCTGCTCAGACCCCACAGATGCTGAGATTCCTCCCTCCTCCCCACCCTCAGCCTCGGGGTCCTGCCCAGATGACTGCAATGATCAGGGTCGCTGTGTCCGCGGTCGTTGCGTATGCTTTCCCGGCTACACTGGCCCCAGCTGTGGCTGGCCATCCTGTCCCGGGGACTGCCAAGGCCGTGGGCGCTGCGTGCAGGGCGTGTGTGTGTGCCGGGCAGGTTTCTCAGGCCCCGACTGCAGCCAGCGCTCCTGCCCTCGGGGTTGCAGCCAGAGGGGACGATGTGAGGATGGGCGCTGCGTGTGTGATCCAGGCTACACTGGTGAGGACTGTGGCATGAGGAGCTGCCCTCGCGGTTGCAGTCAGAGGGGGCGCTGTGAGAATGGGCGCTGCGTGTGCAACCCTGGCTACACTGGCGAGGACTGTGGGGTGAGGAGCTGCCCTCGGGGCTGCAGCCAGAGGGGACGCTGCGAGGACGGGCGCTGCGTGTGTGACCCCGGCTACACTGGCGAGGACTGTGGTACGCGGAGCTGCCCCTGGGACTGTGGTGAGGGCGGGCGCTGCGTGGACGGCCGCTGCGTGTGCTGGCCCGGGTACACAGGCGAGGACTGCAGCACTCGGACATGTCCGAGGGACTGCCGGGGCCGCGGGCGCTGCGAGGACGGCGAATGCATTTGCGACACGGGCTACAGCGGGGACGATTGCGGCGTGCGCAGCTGCCCTGGCGACTGCAACCAAAGGGGCCGCTGTGAGGACGGCCGCTGCGTGTGCTGGCCAGGGTACACGGGACTCGACTGCGGCTCGCGCGCCTGCCCACGCGACTGTAGAGGTCGCGGGCGCTGCGAGAACGGCGTGTGTGTTTGCAACGCGGGCTACAGCGGCGAGGACTGCGGTGTGCGCAGCTGTCCTGGAGACTGTCGTGGCCGGGGCCGCTGTGAGAGTGGCCGCTGCGTGTGTTGGCCAGGCTACACAGGCCGGGACTGTGGCACGCGCGCCTGTCCTGGCGACTGTCGCGGGCGCGGGCGCTGCGTGGATGGCCGCTGCGTGTGTAACCCGGGCTTCACCGGTGAGGACTGTGGGAGCCGTCGCTGTCCCGGGGACTGCCGTGGGCACGGCAGTTGCGAGGATGGCGTGTGCGTGTGTGACGCAGGCTACTCAGGGGAAGACTGCAGCACGCGCAGCTGCCCCGGGGGCTGCCGAGGCCGCGGCCAGTGCATAGATGGGCGCTGTGTGTGCGAGGACGGCTACTCTGGTGAGGATTGCAGTGTGAGGCGGTGCCCGAATGACTGCAGCCAGCACGGCGTGTGCCAGGACGGTGTGTGCATCTGTTGGGAAGCCTACGTGGGTGAGGACTGCAGCATCCGCACCTGCCCCTCCAACTGCCATGGGCGGGGCCGCTGTGAGGAGGGGCGCTGCCTGTGCGACCCAGGCTACACTGGCCCCACCTGTGCCACCCGCATGTGCCCAGCTGACTGCCGGGGACGTGGGCGCTGTGTGCAGGGAGTGTGCATGTGCCACGTGGGCTATGGCGGTGAGGACTGCGGGCAGGAAGAGCCTCCAGCCAGCGCCTGCCCTGGAGGCTGCGGGCCCCGGGAACTGTGCCAGGCAGGCCAGTGTGTGTGTGTAGAGGGCTTCCGAGGCCCTGACTGTGCCATCCAGACATGCCCAGGGGACTGCCGTGGCCGAGGAGAGTGTCACGATGGCAGCTGTGTCTGCAAAGATGGGTATGCTGGCGAAGACTGCGGGGAAGGTGAGCCTTCCCCAGTGTGCTCTGGGACTGTGATTCTGTGAACAGAAGCCATGGGGAAGATCTGAGCCTGAGGAAGAGTGGAGGGAGGGCATGTTATTCTGAGGAGCCAGTGTCCACCAGGGGCAGCAGAACCACAGGGGCAGGGCTCACCAGTGGGCAGGACTGGCCTTCAGATCTCTTGAGGAGCAGGTTGGGGCCCATTTAGTTGGATTTAGGGAGATTCTGTGCTCCTGATGAAGAGAAGGTGAAGGCGGCCAAGCCCCATTCAGCCCTCTGTCAGCTATTCTCCACTAGCAGAGAGGAGTGAGAGTTGGGATGGGCCTCTTGGATGTCCCTGAGTAAAAGGGGCTGTGGGTGGGGGTGGTTGCCTTGTGCTAACCAGCTTTTCCTACCCCATTCTCTTGGGCAGAGGTGCCAGCCATTGAGGGCATGAGGATGCATCTCTTGGAGGAGACAACAGTTCGGACAGAGTGGACCCCGGCTCCTGGCCCTGTGGATGCCTATGAAATTCAATTCATCCCCACGGTGAGAAAGATGCCAAGCTCCAGGAGGGGACTGAGTGAGCAGGATGGGCGGGGTGGGCGGGGCGGCGGGCAGGGCTCACCTCCTGGAGGAAGTTCCAGGTAATCATTGGTTGAGTCCAGATGGCTGGGTTCCTGAAGCTGCTGTAAAGGCTTTCTCAGCCTGCTTGACACTGGGCACTGAGGCCTCTGCAGCATCTCCAGCAAGCATTGGTTCCACACAGTTGGAACACTTGGTAACAGAGAGCTCAATACTTCCTGAGGCTGCCCAGTCCATTGTTGGTCATCACTGTTAGTTGTTGTCGTTGTTGCGGAATCCGTCTGCCCCCATTCTAGCACCTGTCCGTTGGCCCTAGCTGGGTAGTCATCAGCAGCTGGAATGTTTTTTGCTTTCCCTGTGTCCTACACCACAGGCCTTCAGGTATTTGCAGACACCAGCCTGGTGTCTCCATTCCTCAGGCAAAACCTCCCAGTTTCTTCACTCCTCTTCCCTAAGTCTTTGTTCTCTGAATATTTTACCTTCCTGTGACTCTTGCTTTTTTCATGTGCCCCCAAAATGTGGGGGCAGAGAGGGGCCCACTGGCTTACTCTGGATTTACGGACACTTTTCTCAGAGTTGGCATATATTAACTTGTAGTCACACAAGCGGGTAGCTGTTTTGGTCATATTTGGTTTTTAAAGTAACTTTTAATTATAAAAGTAATACAGGCCCAGTGCAGAAAACTTAGAAAAAACTTAGAAAAAACTTAGAAAAAGCAGGGAAAAAAGATGGAAGGAAAGAAGACAACATTCAACTATATACACTTCTTTTTTTTCACCTAAATATAGGCCTTTGCATTTGGCCCTGTTCAATGTTATCTTTTTTGGTTTGGGCCAAGCTGTCTAGGCTGTTGCAACAATTTTGAGTCTGTGAACTTCATCTCCCACCTCCTTGTCATCAGCACATGCAAACCAGTTTTTTCTCTGTCTCCCTCCAACTTGCTCTTTTTTTTTTTTTTTTCTTGAGACAGAGTCTCGCTCTGTGGCCCAGGCTCGAGTGCAGTGGTGCCATCTCAGCTCACTGCAACCTCTGCATCCCAGGCTTAGGTCATGCTCTTACCTCAGCCTCCCAAGTAGCTGGGACTACACGTGTGCACCACCTTAGCTTACTAATGTTTGTATTTTTAGTAGAGACAGGGTTTCTCCATGTTGCATGCCCAGGCTGGTCCTGAACTCCTGGGCTCAAGTGATCTGCCCGCCTCAGCCTCCCAAAGTGCTGGGATTACAGGCATGAGCCACCACGCCCAGCCATCCAACTTGCTCTTAAAACATTAGAGGGAATACCCTAAGGACAAAGCCTTGTAGTCACTCATTTGGGACCTCTCTTTATGCAGATTGGGCTTTTAAGATATGGTCATTCCCCTAGCTCCAAATCTTCTGACATTTCTACCATCCAACTCATGTTTTCCTGCATCATCCCACAAATGCCATGGGGTGTGGGCCATGTCACCCTCATCTTCATCAGCTTAGCCAGGACTCTGTAAAAATAAACAACTCCCCGGGCCTAAGGCCTCAGAAGGCACTAGGACAGAAGGGGACAGCTCAGAGGAACTGTCATCCTCACTCCACTTTGCTTTGTCTTGTCATTATGCTCCTCAGGCCAGCCCCCTACCATGTTCTGCCTGTCCTCACTCTCCAGCCAAAGCGGAAGCAGAAATCTCAACTTTGTGGCGCAACCAAGATAGCTTGAATTTTTTCTTCTGTTTAAACATCTTTTTTTGTTGTTGTTATTATAAAAATACTTTAATCACGAGACAAGAATTTGGCAACTAGAGAAAAGAAAAACAATTCCTGGCTGCTCCTCACTAAAACAAGCACTGCTAACATTTTCAAGTGTTTCTCCCACTCTCTTCTTCTCTGTGTATATTATTTACATAGCTCTAAGCTTGAAAGGGTGGGACTTTGAAAAGGAAGTTTCCTAAGAAACTTCAGGGAAAGAAGAATTAAAATAAACACTTGAGATAAGAGGAGCTTTTAGGGCAGCAGTTGTCTCCTGCTCTGAGTAAATAAACACAAACCCATCCTTGATGTTGTCAAGGGTGCCGCTTTCCAGTCGAAGCCCTAGGCTTTCTCCCTCACTCAGAGCCAGGGTGGCGGTGCCAAGTTGGCCTGTGCCAGGCTCGGCCATGTTCTTAGTTCATCCATTCTGCTCTCGGTATGGGCGTCTGTCACATTCTGGGTCTTCTCTGAGCCTGGGTGTGGAAGGCACTCCTGTAAAATTGGTCCCCAGACACTCCTCTTGGGCCTGGGCTACCGGCCCTCAGACCATGCTTTCTGCTCTCTGTAGCTGGCCCCTGGTATCGTACCTTCTGCCTTGGCAAGTGCCGTCTGTCTATTTCTTTTCTTTTCTTTTCTTTTTTTGAGATGGAGTTTCGCTCTTATTGCTCAGGCTGGAGTGCTGTGGAGCAATCTCGGCTCACTGCAGCCTCCGCTTCCCAGGTTCAAACGATTCTCCTGCCTCAGCCTCCTGAGTAGCTGGGATTACAGACACCTGCCACAACGCCCAGCTACCCTCTGTCCATTTCTGTGGGCATAGAGTATATTCAGTAGTTGTCTGTCCTCTGGCTGCTGCTGTCATCCTAGAAGCCTATCTCTACCTCTTCCCTTCCCTCTTCCCAGAAGTACTTCTCTCTCAAAGCCCAAACTCTGCTATTCCAGATCAAGGGACACACCTAGTTATTGAAATTATTTTTCAGAATGCAGGAGGAGGAGGTTTCTCCTCTCCCTGCATATGTGGCATTGTTACTGTGACTCAGTGGTTCTCAAAGTGGGTTCCCTGGACCTGCAGCATCAGCATCACCTGGGAGTATGTTAGGCAGGCAGATTGTCAGACTCCCCTCCCCAGATCTACTGAGTCAAAAAGTCTGGGCACAGAGCCCAGTAACCTGTATTGCAACAAGCCCTCCAGGTGATTCTGATGCCCCTCCAGCCTGAGGCCCACTAAGTGAAGGAATGTTGCTATTTCGCAAAGTGCTAGCCCCACTATGAATGTGAGAGAAAGCATGGGGAAACCGAGGGAGATGAGTTCCTGAATGAGAGAAAGGTTCAGATATTCCTTGTCTGGGTGTGTCCTGCAGCCTGGAAACCAAGGCTAGGCTGAGTGTTCACTGGGACTCAAAACCTTGCAGCCTCAGAGAAGTTTTTGCTTGGGTCTAGTCTAAAAACAGCGATGAGGGTGAGATAAGCTCCAAGGACCAGCCAAGGTAGAGTTCTTCATCTGCAGCCATGAGGTTAATATTGGGATAAGGTCTAAGACGTCCCAAGAACAAAATCAGTGAAGCAGGCCAGGTGCAGTGGCTCATGCCTGTAATCCCAGCACTTTGGGAGGCTAAGGTGGGTGGATCACCTGAGGTCAAGAGTTTGAGAACAGCCTGACCAACACAATGAAACCCCATCTCTACTAAAAATACAAAATTAGCCGGGCATGGTGGTACATGCCTGTAATCCAGCTACTTGGGAGGCTGAGGCAAGAGAACCCCTTGAATCTGGGAGGCAGAGGTTGCAGTGAGCTGAGCTCGCGCCATTGCACTCCAGTCTGGGCAACAAGAGCGAAACTCCATCTCAAAAAAAAAAAAAAAAAAAAAAAATCAGTGAGGCATCCAAGCTTCACCAAGGGGCAGAGCCAGCTGCCAGCATCTGTTTGATGCTGCTTCAGGGCCAGGTGTGGTGACTCATGCCTATAATCCCAGCACTTTGGGAGGCCAAGGTGGGTGGATGACCTGAGGTCGGGAGTTCGAGACCAGCCTGACCAACATGGAGAAACCCCATCTCTACTAAAAATACAAAATTAGCTAGATGTGGTGGTGCATGCCTGTAATCCCACTACTCAGGAGGCTGAGGCAAGAGAATCGCTTGAACCCGGGAGGCAGAACTTGCAATGAGCTGAGATCACACCATTGCACTGCAGCCTGGGCAACAGGTGTGAAACTCCCTGTCAAAAAAAAAAAAGAAAAAAGAAAAGAAAAAAGAAAGCCTGCTTCAGACCAGCAAGATGGTGCTAGGAGATGTGGGAGACATGGGTTAGGTTGATGGGCTTTTAGGGGACTGTTCCCAGATGGATCTCAGGAGGAACCAAGAAGTATCTAAAGGAGATATATATATATGTTGCTCTTGTGAGAGAAGAACTCTGGGGATAGGCTTGCCTCACTGAAAGAACCAGATATCATCAGGGAGCATCCAAGGTGTGTGTGTGTTGCAGCGGCAGGGATGGGGTGGGTGTGGATAAAGAGAAAGAGACACACACACACAGAGAAAATGAACAAATAAATTCTGGGAACGGTTAGGATTTCATGGGTCTTGAGTTGAGGCCAACCCAAGGCTTCCTAGCTGGGGTATTCTAGGGCAGGATGAATAGGAGAGGGCTGGAGGTCCTGTGTGCCCAGGAAACCTTTTCAGCCCAGAAAACTGACAAAGCTTTACTTCATCCTCAACCCAGAAATCTCTACGTGGCCTTCTCATCTGGTTTTATACTTTGGTATTTACTATGTTGATTTGCCCACAGCTCTCTTGGTTTAGGAGAGTACCTTTTGAAATTTCCAATCCTACTTGGCTGAATGGAGGTGTCCCCATCACGGCCAACATAGCTAGGCAGAACACAGCGTCCTTAGCGGCTGTCCTAGCTGGACAGCACGGCAAAATGTGGGGCTGTTAGAATGCTCACAGATGTCCAGTTCCTCCTGTTTCCCAGCGGTGGGCACTCCAGGAGACCCTGCCTGGAGCAGGGTCCAGTAGATTTCCTTTGGGGCCACCACACATAATCATAATTCCTTAAATGTACCCTTGTAGGAGTGTTGTTTTCTCACGAGCATTTCCTAAGCATAGAGATTGTTTTAGTATTTCATATAGTCAAGATGTGGCCATACGTTTAGCTACTAGAGTCTGAGCTACCTGAGGACAGGGACCATTTATTTTATTTTTGTGTCTCCAATGCCCAGCATGATGCCAGGTACAAAATCAACAATCAGGAAACATATTTGTGGAACTTTGAGCGGGTGGGTCTTGTTTTGAGGAGCCTACAACCCAGGTGAAGAGACAAGAAAAGTCCCTCAAGGGAAAGGTGGTGATGTGAGTCCCACTCCTATTACATAGCCATAAGCAGGCGTCTGCCGGCAGGTTCAGAGGGTGAGGCAGCCCCCTTAAGGAGAAAGTGCAGCTTGAAGGGCATCCTTGATCGACTTCATTTGTTCTGACAGGACTGAGCTTAGGAGAAGCCTCTCATGCCCAGGTAGTCAGAGTTGCCAGGGCAAAGCTGGAGGGAGAGTCCTAGTGCATGTTGGGTGGAATTCTGGCAGATGAACACGTGGTGCCCATGAGCGGGGACTCTGGCAGATGAGCAGGGGGTGCCCACGAGAGGGGTCTCTGGGATCACACTGCCAGGGCCTAAATCCTTGCCGTTTTCTTGGTGTTGGTGACCTTGGCAAGATACTTGTCCTTCTGTGTCTCAGTTTCCTTATCTGTAAAATGGGACTAATAGGACCTGTTTTATAGGGTTGTTGGGAGAATTAAGTGAGTTCATGTATGTACATCACCTAGAACAGTGGCTCACAAGGAGTTAGCGCACTCGGCATGTTTGCTCCCCAGTTTGTACAGGGTCAAGTTCCACACAGTCCCATGTTGACACTGAGAACTGGAGAAAGAAGAGATAAGGGGGATTGAGCAGCAGAGGCGAGAGTGCCAGCCCCTAAGCCACCTGGTGCTGTCTCTCACAGACAGAGGGGGCGAGCCCCCCATTCACAGCACGGGTTCCAAGCTCTGCCTCAGCCTATGACCAAAGAGGACTGGCCCCTGGACAGGAGTACCAGGTCACTGTCCGAGCCCTTCGAGGGACCAGCTGGGGCCCTCCTGCCTCCAAGACCATCACCACCAGTGAGCGCTGGGGCTGTGGGGAGGGGTGTCCTGAGTGGAGATCTTGACTGGAGAGGGAATCTGCCCCCCGGGAGGGCAGAGGGAAGGGACTGGATGGGGGCTAGGCTCTTGGAAGGAAAGATGATGACTGAAGAACCAGACACCCGCCTGAACCCTCCTTCTCTTTAACCTGGCTAGTGATCGATGGGCCCCAGGACCTCCGAGTGGTGGCTGTGACGCCGACAACACTGGAGCTTGGCTGGCTGCGTCCCCAGGCCGAGGTAGACCGATTTGTGGTGTCCTACGTCAGTGCCGGCAACCAGAGGGTGCGGCTGGAAGTGCCCCCTGAGGCAGACGGGACGCTGCTGACTGACCTGATGCCAGGCGTGGAATATGTGGTGACTGTCACAGCGGAACGGGGCCGGGCAGTCAGCTACCCAGCTTCCGTCAGGGCCAACACAGGTATGGCTGGCCAGAGATTAGGGAAGGGACCTGGTTTCCCAGCCTTGGATCCTTCTCCTCAGGAGCCCAGGCTCAGGGCTCACAGGCTCCTCTGAATGCATCTGGCAGGTGTGTGGCAGTCTCCAGGCACCTGCTGGGGGCCTTGCTCTGTCCTGAGGCCACTGGAGAGACAGAGCCCTCAGATGCCTGGAGTCCTGTAAGAAGGTTGCAGGTTAGCCTGTGAAAGGAACCGCCCCAGGGAGAGAAGTGAATAGGAGATGCTGCCTGATCCAGTCAGTTAAGGGAGGTTCTTACTTAAATTTAGTTACAGGGACAGGCCTTTTGCTGATAGATCTTGTGGGACTGGAATTAGGCAGATTAGAGATCATTAGTCCTGTTGACTTTAGGATTGGAATTGCTGGGAGGTGGGTCTCACAGCAGTGATTTTCCACTAAACCTCGAGGTTTCTTAACAGATACCTGGATATTTTTCTTTTCCTGTGACAGGGGGACACCCACCTCGCTGTAGCTCACGTTCTCTTCCCGGACTCCCCTTTCTCTCCTTCAGCTACAGGGCCCCACCCACGGGCTTCTCTCTTCTTTCTAGGGCACCAACAGTAGTGGGCTTGGAGGGGAATGGGGGGGGCTCCGGGACACTGACCGATTTCCCTCCGTTCTCTTTCCAGGTGGGGCTGGGGCACAGGGAAGAGGCCTCTGGCTCTGGTGGGAGGGATGGAGGGAGGGGCTGCCGGGGAGGAGTGCCGGAGGGAGCTGCCACTGACCTGTTCTCCTCCCCTTTTTCGCCCCTGGCAGCACCAGGCCACTACAGTTACCCGGAGGTGCGCCCCCCAGCCC